CATGTAACATTTAGGAGGATCTATGTACAGACATGGAATATAATATTCATAGGTATGTTTTCATTAGTATATAATCACCTGAAAATAAGAATTGTTGCTTTTTCATCAACTAGCATATCTAGAAACACAGTTGCCTTTCACAAAGTCCGACATGAACTGCCATTTGTCTACAGTAGCCCAAAATGAACAAACCAAACCCTGGCTGTAGATAGGGGCTTGGCTACCGTAGTTTTCACCGCTGGATGCCACAAAATCCAACACACTGGTCCTTTAAGTAAACAATACATAATCTTGTACCAAAAAGACTGTAATATTGGTGAAAAGAAGAACAATTTGCATACGTTTCTGTAGTTATAGTAGTAAAAATGTGGATGGGAATTTGCACCGTAGTGGTGAAATGGGATATCTGTGTTCCAGACAGTCCCGAGGTTGGTTGGCCAACAGCCTGCTGAAGGCCAGTGGGGCAGAGGGGATTGCTGTGAGGCAATCTGGTTGTTAAGAAGTATTTCAACTTGGTTATATATACAGTAATGAGGCTCAAAGTGATTTTCTGGTCACCAAAGAAATTCAGCTTTTGTGCATAGTGAAAGATAATAGTCTTTTCCTGCAGAGTAAACAGTGAACCCTTTGAAGGCATGGGTGTGGTAGTGTTTCAGTTTTCTTTAACCCATCAGCCATAGTCTCCCTGACTGCCGGCCTGTGTGTGTGATTTCCCTTTTGAACCCAACCATGTCTGATGCCTTCTGTCCAATGACCCGTGCTGTCTGTTTGGGGAGCGTGACACTGGCCCCAAGCTAAATCAGCCTTTTGTCTGTCCTCATAAGACAAGTCTCCCTGCTTGGCAGAACACAGGACTCAGGCTCAGACTGAAGCTTAGCCCATTGAGAAACCGAGAGCTAGAGCGGCTGAAAGCAGGGGCTGGTGGAGGCATGAGGTGGCAGTTTCTCATGCATTGCTGATTTCTGACAGACCATAAATCGAATTGCTAAGACTGCAAAAAGGGAAAGGGACTGTTTGAAGGGGAATACTTTCTTTACTTTTACTGATCAAAAGCTTGAACATCCTTCTTCCTTTGCATTTCAATACAGCTACCCTTCTTAAGAAAGAGAACTAAGAACGTAAAAAAAATATATATACAAAAGAGGTGAACAGGAAATGAGGTACGTGATGCTGTGGTTTAGAGATGCAGGTCTTTAAACCACAGCCATCACATGACGTGGATTTCCGCTTTGACACATTGCTTTGCTGCACAGCAGGGCAGGGCCACACAATCACTGAAAACCTGCTGCAGCAGAACATGATGGTGCTTTGAGGACTACTCTACCATGCAGTCCACCATGAATTTCAATGGACTTCAACGCCAGGGCAGCCAAGAGAATTACATTCTGGATAATACTCTGAGGAAGAAATGCTCCCTGTGGTACCGACGTTCACTGAAGGGAAACAATGATCGACACCGGCAGAACACAGGCTCTATGACCAGGGTACGCAAGGTGAGACAATAAATCAAGTGTAATATATAGTACAGTTGCTGGAAGATAGAGTGTAAACACACACACTTCTTTAATTAAAAATTGTTTTTTAAATATAATCTTTCTTTTATATTGTTTTATAATGGGAAGCAGTTCCCTGCCACCACATTTGCCACCAACTGTGTAATAAAAACTCAGCAGCTTCCTGCAACTGGCCAAAAGCCTTTTAACAATTTTAATCTTTTGAGTTATGTAACACTATAAGATTAACCTGTTCTTACATAGTTTCCTTATAGGTTTAAAATGTAAATTCATTATATTGATCTAAAGAGGAACTCTTTCTCCTTTTGCAGCCCAAACAAACCCACTCCAACTCACTGGTTGATTACTCTGACCCACAAAGGTAAATATCTCAAATCTGGTGCAATTTGTCATTCACCTTTAGCTTTACTACATGCAAAATACTATATATTGCATTTTTCTGTTTTTTTCTGCATTTTCTATTAAAAGAAATTACTTGACTGTTCTTTTGTACACAAAGAGTAGTTCCTAAAACACTTTCTCTTTTTCTACATTTGTCTTTTGCACAGGACCACAATTGTACTAGAAAAACAAGACAATGAAACATTTGGTTTTGAAATTCAGGTAAGCATGATCACATTTTATCTACAATAAAAAGAAGTGCATATGTATTGACATGCTTTTTAATCTTGAATTATTAATTTTAATTCTGCTCCACGTTTAAAGATAAGACACAGTCTACAATAGTCTGCTTAATGTGTTCTGCATATACATCATTCTGCACAGTGGAACTCAAACATCAAACTCTAGCAACAAGAAGAAAAACATATCTTTGAGGGGAAGGGAGGGGCAAAAAGATTTATTTTGTGGAAAAGTATTGTTTTAGCAGCTTTTGTGACAAAATGTGTATCTTATTGCAGACCTATGGCCTGCAGCTGAAGGACAGCTCTGCAGTGGAGATGTGTACATTTGTGCGCAATGTGCAGGAGGACAGTGCAGCTGAGAACGCTGGCCTAACCGCAGGTGAACCTCCCACGCAGGCTTTCATGCACATGCAAAACCATAAGACCTTATTATACCTTTCTGATCACATGAAGATTGACAGTTATATCACTTACCACAAATGTACAAGCTGCCCACCCATACACCCACACACACTAATGCACATATACAATGCGAAGCCATGTTGTTTTCTCGTAATTGATGATGACTTCCTTTTTTTGCATGTTCATTTGTTGTAGGAGATATCATCGTCACTATCAATGGGGTCAGCATTGAGGGATCATCTCATCAGCAGATACTTGATCTGATAGGAGAGTCAATCAACAATCTAAAGTGAGTGACGGAGAGAAAAACTTAGCAGACTGTTGGTACAACAATGATTATAAACTGCACAGAAATCCTTACAGCATGACAACAGTGTTTTCTGATGAAAGTGTGTGTAATTATGTGTCATTATGTGATTCCAGGATGGAGACTGTATGTGGGAATGTAGTGAAGCAGATAGAGCTGGAGAAGCGCATGAACCTGCTTAAGGTGTGTCTCTTCGACCGTGCCCACATTTGATGGTTACATACTTTAGCTCTGTGGTTGTATTAAGCAACCTAAAACCTACTGCTACAAATCCACACAAACGCAGCTGGTTATAATGAAAGAGCAAAACCGCCACCATGTAGTTAATTACAGGTTGACATACTGCTACACCACTTACAGCCAACATTTCACAAGTAAACCCACACTGTAGATTAACTGCATGCTTTTAGACTGAGATCATGTAGATGTAAGTGTTCTGAATGCATAGGCTAAAAGAATTTTACTGGAAGTAAAACCAAATGTTCTTTTCTATCTATACAGCAATCACTACGTGAGAAATTGGTGGAGCTGCAAGCACTTACTTTACAGGAAAAGCGTCTAATGCGAGGTGAGAGTGTTTGCTTTGCTGTCAAACCACAGCACTTCCTTTCACACAGCCATTGTCCTGTTTCTAAAGCAACACTGTTTTTGATGTGAACTGAAGTGTAAACTCCAAATAAATTAGAAAAAGGAGTTCCCCAGAGAAATGAACATAAAAGCTTCTGACGAACTTCCTGTTGCAAACTTCTCGTCAGCTGAACCTTTTTGTTACCACAGACTTTATTATGTTTTCAGGTAACTTGAACACCAGCAGCCTCCACCTCTCAATGGACTGTGCACAGATTCTGGGCTCCCCCACAGGCCGATGTGGCCGGCGTTTTTCTAGTGACAGTAGCTACAGGAGCGTGATGACTGATGACAGCGACCAGGCCAGTGTGTTTGGGGATCTGAACTCTCCCAGCCCCTGCAGTGCATCCAGCACCACAGACGACAGTTGCTTCTTCTCCAGAGATTTTCAATCACAGGACAACTCGGGCAGATTTTCATCCAGCCATTATCACCAAACCCTCGGCCGCTCCAGCAGCTCCAGTTTGGCCGGCAGCACCAGCTCCCTCTCGCCTTCCTGGGACGAAACAAGGATCTCCTCCTTGTTTGGTACCCTGCCCCGTAAAAGCAGGAGAGCCAGTGTTCGCAAGCACATCTTCAAGTTAATTCCTGGACTCCAGCGATCAGTTGAAGAGGATGAGACTGGAACAAACACTCAGTGACATGTTGCTCACATACTCTGTGTCTACTTGATACTAAGGGTTAACAAAGTTTCTCCTGCTCTGAACAAGTTACAGAAAGAATTAGACACTGTAATGACGTGTTCACACACACACAAAAATGATAATAAGCATTTTTTTTATGTGGACACAGAGATGATGGACATTGCGGCACCTGGCATTTGTCAGTGTCAGTTTACCCGGGAGGGCCCTGAGCCGTTAAGGTGAGCTTGGCTCACTGTTGGGCTTAGACTTGTGGTGGCACAGAAGCATTATAAAAACGTAAAATGTTCTTCCTCTGAACGTGCTTGAATGAATGTACATACAAGATGGTGATGTATGAGTGTGACGAGCATTAATCGTATCAGTCTGAACTGCTGTAGCTGTATTATGTAGCAACTTGAATTTTAAAATGAGACTGTTGTAACCTAAAATACATGATACTATAGACACCATTCATTTTTCAGGTCAGGTAAACATTTAAGTATTTCTGTCACGTTCAGGTGCTGAAAACCAAAACCAAAGCTCTACTCTGTATAGATGGCTGCTCAGCTCAAAACAGGATGTGGGTAGAAGAGGTACTACTTAACTCTTTTCCTTTCCAAAATACTTTTCAGGCTGCATACAACTTACTTTCAGTGTTGGTTTTGTAAATTCTGAAATTTGTATGTTTCAAATAGAGAATGTCACGCTTTATTTTTTGATATCAAATCAAGATTATATGTATGCAAAATACTTAAAAATAAAATAAAATAAAAAATAAACTTGTGACGTCTTATCAACTCAGCACTGATTTCCTTCAGGTACCAGATAATAATGCACACTCATTCTAAAGTACAATTTCAACAGACAAAAACTGCACTGAAGATTTCTGTTGATGATGCAGGTGCTACACACATCATTTACTCTTAAACAGAAACAAATATTATTCTGAGCAATGCACAACAGTTGTGCAAACAAAACTTGAGAAGAGAAACCCCACACATTTCCTGTAATATGTCTCACTTCTTCGGTTTCCTGCTGCTGCTAAAGAAAGACAGACAGACAGAGAGAGAGAGAGAGAGAGAAATACAGAGACAGATATAGTGGGGCATTATCACCATATCACATTATGATTAATTAAATGCCTCTTTTTAAAATAAAGATGAATTATAAACAAGTTGTTTTTGCATGCAGATAGTGGTGGAATATGTATTCACATCTTTTACTTAAGTAAAAGTACTAAAACAAATTATTCTGTTACAAATAAAAGTCTAAAAAAAAACGACTCTCCAGCAAAATGTACTTAAAGTATCAAAAGTTAAAGTATGTCTGCAGTCAATAGTCCTCTGTGACTGATATATTATTGTATGTCATTATTATATTGTCAGTACAGATACATGAGGATGTGTTTTACTAGTGGAACTGGCTTTAACCACTTTATATACAGTTTATTTAGTCCAGTGGCTCTCAACCTAAGGGTCAGACCCCTCCAAAGGGTCGCAACATAAATCTCAGGGATCATTTATAATTAATGAGAGAGGTGGGGAATAAGGTCTGTGCCACAAATCTGTATTAAATTTGTTTTTTTTACCTTTCTCTAATCTCTAAGCGTTTTACCTCTTTGTACCTTGAAAAGTTATTTAATAACCTTTTGAGAAGTTTAGAGGAGAAATGTCTTTTTGGTGAAAGTGCTACAATCTGAAACCTGACAAAAAGACCAGCAAACTTCTTTTGCAAGAGGACACAAGCCAAAAAGGTTAGCAACCACTGGTTTATTTTCAACAATGAGTTTTTTATATTTTATAGCAAGGTCTAAAACTGAGCCGGGGGCCATTTCCAACCCTCCACCCCCCTACTTCCAGTCTGTGATATATGTAATCCGCCCGCAAGATTAGTTTTAAAGATTATTTTTTCTACATGATTTATATCAGTTTAAACTACTCCTTCATATGCAATTACAATAAAAACACAATTGTATTATTAAAAAATAATGGCAAAGGTCAAAGGCAAATAAGTGGATTAGATGAGACCAGGAAAGAACATAGATGATATAAAATGAAGATATAAGCATTCACAGAAACTGCTGTTTGCATTTTATTGTTTAGTATGATCTTAGAAATGGAATATTTACAGAAATACTGTGCTTTCTTGTGGTACTTGAACATTGAAGTGGCCCCCCCTATGCGATGACAATAGCAGCAGTAGCCCCAAGCCAGTTGGAGTTTGAGAGCCCTGTCTTATAGGCTTATTGTATATTTCTAATAAAATCTCAAACTGAAAAGTAAAACATAACTTCAGCTTTCAGACTCTACTTGTATATTGCCTTTCTAGTCTTCCGACCACTTACAGTGCTTGTTACACTACATACCACCCATTCACACAGTGAATGGCAAAGGCCATCACAATCAGAAACTAACATTCATAGACAGATGCACAGCATCAGAAGCAATTTGGGGTTCCGTATCTTGCTCAAGGACAAGGAGGAGCCGGGGATCGACCTGCTCTACCTCCTGAGCCACAGTCGCACCAGACAAGTATAGTGAAGTACAATATTCCTCTCTGAAATATAGTATGAAATTGACATACTCAGGTACAAATACCTCAAAATTATACAGTACTTAATTAATTAATTCTGCCTGCAGAGGACCTCAGTACTGACATTGTGTAAGACTTCTAAATGTTATATCAGCATTTTAGGTGCCTTACTTAAGATGTAAAGGTCTTAGTACGCACTTTAAGACATAACAAAGCTTAGCTTCAGCACATGTGCAACATTGCTAGTTCAGGCAGTGAAATGCTGTAAAGAAAACCTATAGGAGAATGTTAATCTGGACTCAAAATGCTACAGAATGAAGGTGGTCACCCAGCAGAGATTATTAAAGAATGAATACAATCACTTCACATGCAGATGCCAGAGTCACAAAGAGTCTTTGTTGGGGCCACAACAAAACCCCCGTTCTTCTGATTCAACAAGTACACAGAATTACATGGTACTACAGAGCACGCTTGCACTGCCGACTGAAATGCGGGATGGATTCTTCCTTCACTCTTTGACAATGCAGGATGAAAACAAGTATTTTGATAACATGGAACGCTGGAGCAGACAATGCAAAGTCTGAGGCTGCTTTATTTTGTCAATTAATCTGCAGAAAAAGCATTGGAGCTTGACCATTTTCGACATCATTGGGGATAGAAAAACAGGACGGTGGAAATGGAGGCGAGCACAATGCCTCCAAAGGCCCCAAGGCTCACAGTAGAAGAAGATGCAATGGCATCCCAGGTCCTGGAGATCATTGGTGGGATCACTCTTGGGGGCCTCCAGACACTGGACGAGGCTGAAGACAAAGATGTGTGGTCAATGGAGGAGGGAGACGACTCGGTGTTCTACAGTGATGAGGACCAAGCTCATCACGGCATAAAAACAAACACATCTTGTGATTTTGGTGCCAACGAGTGCAAGCGTCTTGTCAACAGTGTGACATCTGACGAACCTATCCCACAGGGGGGGCCTGATCAGGAAGAAGAATCCATTATTGACAAAGATAATTCAGAGATGGAAAAGAAGGTGACTCAGCAGGTCATTCTGACCGAACAAGGAGAGGAACGGCAAGAGCTCCAGACACCAAAAACTGAACCTATGGATCAGTCAGATGTTGCAGATCCAGGACAACAATCGATGAGCGCCTGTGGAGAATCTCTACACCTAAACTTCACAGGCGCAGACATGCAAACAGGAAACAGATCAGCAGAAAAAGGTAAGAGAAATTTAGTATAATTGTGTTTGAGGAAGGTTTTTGTTTACACAGTGCAAAACAGATTACCCCCCTTTTTTTCTTTTCAGCAAATCTACCAGTACAGGAGGAAGTGGCACTAGACGCACAGACACCAGACCTTGAACCCTTTGATGTAACTAATGAGGAGAGTTTTACAAAGCCGAATGGGGAGGCAGAAATCCCGGAGCAGATGTCTAGTGACAAACTCCAGATATCAGGTGACAGGCAGCTTCAGGTGGACCAGGAGCCAGAGCAAGACCACAACATGCATGACATTGTTCACCAAAACCCCAGCCCAGGCCACTCCACTCTGCCTATGTTGGAGAAATCCGTCCACCAGAAATGCTTCAACCACCTCTCTTCCTCCAAATACAGCACCGTGTCCTACCGCAAGATCCGCAGAGGCAACACCCGCCAGAAGATAGAGGAGTTTGAGTACATGATGAATTTGTAAGATTTTTTTGTTTTTCAGGAACATAAACACTGCTGAACATGATACATAACAAAAAAAATGAGCATTAAAAAGAAAATGTACATCTATGTCGTATGTTACAGCTTAAATATTTATTTGTTCTAAAAAACCTACTTGAAAATCTCTGATGTTACTCTCCAGGTCACTCACAAGATCTTTAAATTAAGAGTACTATTTGTTTCTGTTGTTTGGTATCTAATTGCTGAGCAGTGCATAACAACAATCTCATATTTGCCTTTATGGTTTTAGGAGGATAACATCTTGTTATGTAAGGGAGGTACAGATTAAATAAATAAGAAGCTCAGGGCTGTATAATCCTACTGCCTATAACAAGTAAGTAGTAGTGTTGTTTGGTATTAGAGCTTCAGTATCTTAACTTCTGGAGAGGACTTAAGTGTTTTTGAGTGACCAACTAAACATAACTTCTTACATGCCTTAATGGCTATTGGATAAGAAACAAATAAAAAGAGATGCATGCAATGAAATCTTTATCTTCATTATTCTATTTTTACTTTCTTAAGAAAATGCATTTCCATCAATATGTAGTTAAAGGGCTTGGTAAAAATCATGAAATCACAGCACAGGTTTATTGGGTGTTTTGAACCAACACTTCCCTCTAGTGACAAAAAGGGACAGTTTTCACAACAAAAACCCACACCTAAATAAAGCGTCACTTAAAACCAGAGAATCATAAAGTACGTAACATCGAGAAAAGATGTCTCATCAAAAGTATGTGATGTGTTTTATACAAATGAATAAATTCTACATTACATGCAATTAAACTCAGTATTCATTTCCAGCAGAGCACACACAAAAAGAAAAATCACTTTTTACATCGCAAATATATGAGGCACTGTTTTCAATCTTTGGCAGGGAAAAGATATGTTTGAGTGTTCTTTCATAAACTTTCACCTGAAGCCCTTTAGTCTTTCCCCTCCCCCCTCCCCAAAAAGCAAGTGTAGAGGATCGACTGGATCGTTCTAAAAAAAAAAAACAAAAAAATTGCAAACTCCGATCCAAATCTTCATAAAAAAAGAAGATGCTCTCTTTCCTCTGGCACTAGCACTTAAACTCAAGGTCAGTCCATGCTGATATGATAAAAGGACATTGGAAACATTGCACATCCCCACACCCTCTATTTTACACCACACATATTACTGCCACCAAAGCGCTTCCCACATCCTCTGGACAGTTGTGTTGATGCTGACCACCGACTGTACTGTAGTGTGAGGCCACTGAAGGTCTCCGTAGTGCATGTTTGACACATTAAACCCATTTCAGTCTCATCACTTAGCGTGGTAGTGTGTGAACTGCCACTTTTGAAAGGCGTTGCTGGGTTCGCATGGGTTGAGGCGCAGAGTGTCACCCTGAGGCCCCGCCTCCAGGCACATGTGGTGCGACGCAAACTCTGTTATGAGATGCTCCGCCTTCACGAAGACAAAACAGAAAACATAATTAATGAGCAACATTCTTTGATTTGTACTACACAACTGACAGCAACATATTTCACTTCTAGTGAATTAGAAGCAGGCCGATACCATTGTCTGAAATATGTCTGACTAAAATACCAGAATTGAGAAAGGGAAGAAAAACAAAAGATAGAAGACAAAGCAAACGGCACACCCAAACTAAACCTACCAGGGCGGAGTTGGAGGATTTGTGGAACCAGCGGAGCTCAGACTTGGCGTTGTCACATAATTGTAAAGCAAAGCCGTTGCCCTTGCCTTGGGGTGCGACACATATGTTCTGCTGGCGAACGTGCCTCAACCAGGTGTAATTAAAGTGCTGACTCTAAAAGAAAGAGAGAACAAGAGAGAGGGAGAGAAGAGTGAAAAGGGTGTAATTATGCTCCATGAAAACTGTAAGATTTTGAAGGATGGCTCAGTGGGCTGCTCTGAATCCAAGAAGACCAGATTTAGAAAGGCTTGGTCTCGTCTTGGACTCCACCCTTGTTTATCGTGGCTTGGGTCTTGTCTTGGACTCTGACTGTATTTGTACTGATCTTGGTCTATTCCTGCATGTTCTTACACAATTACCACAGTCATGAGGCCAAAATGGCAAAATATGTGCATATTTTCAGAAGAATCACTAAGAAACATGTATGACATGATGATTTGTCAAAAAAAAAAAAGACACCTACCTGCTTGCTGAGATCACATATCTCAAACAACAGAGAGCCTTTCTGCAGGGCGAGGCATTTTCTTAAGCCACGATTGAAGATCTACAAAGGAAACATTTTACAGAAGTGAAACAACAGCACTGTTAGCATTTACTTTTCCTCCCTTAAAACATGAAAATAGGCCTCGTTGCTGTTCTTGTTTCCTTGAAATGAATACTGACAGAAAGCTGTCACAGGCTTTAATAGACAGCTATTCTTTGTTTCAAAGGAGCACAATCACAGTCTCTGTTTGGGCAGATTTTGTTAAGGGGTTCTCAGCAGAGATAACAATAGCTTCATGGAGGGAAAGAATAACAAGCTTTCATTTTTAAGGGATCTTTTAGGCAAATGTAAATAAAGTTTACTCATCTACATACCAGGCCTTCTGCTTTCACTAAGGGAGCATCCATATCTGGATACACATTGTCCAGGTACCACTTGAAGCTCTTGCATTTGAGCTTCTTCCTCAGCTCAATCTGGTCTGTGAGGTTGCCGATGTTGATGGCCTTCTTATCCAGCAGGTGGTGGTACCCGTGACCATAGAAAAGGTCCTTGTACTCATCCAGCCAGACCTCTGCCACCCTCGCCAGGTTACGCTCCACCGTCTTCTGCCTGTCCTTGGGGAACTTGTAAGGATTCTGTCCTCGGAAGATGTGTCCCACTCGAGAGCAGGGGATGATCTCGATTTCCCCTCCGCACATCCAGATCTGTTCAAATGGACACGCGATAACGAGTCATGTGAGAGGAATTCTGCTGAGTTCCCAAACACCTATGGTTTGAATTCATGTTTGGATTAGACGAGACAATATACCTTAAAGGAAATCTCCATGTTCTCCCCACCCCACACATCAAGGCCGGGATCATACTGGCCAAGCTCATAGAAGTATTTTTTGTCTATGGAGAAAAGGCCTCCAGCCATAACTGGACATCTGAAAGATAAAAATAAATAAATAAAAAAAGCAGCAGAAATAATAATACAACTTAATAATATAAAAACTGACTGTGTAGGTCACCTGATGGGATCTGCAATGGTCATGTTATTCTTCTTAATGTACTCGTCTGGTAATGCGCTCCAACCAAACACCAGAGGCCATTTGAAAATACCTCTTTGGAAGTTGTCAACCAGCATATAACTGAGGAGAAAGCCAGAACAGAAGCATTCAGCTTTACTGTAGAAAACATGATCACATCACATGTCCTTTACTCAAATATGGCAGCGTAATATGAGTCACCTCATGTCCTTGTCACTGATGACTTCAATAACTGGACAGGGAACCTTCTTGCGATCCAGGTAGACTCTCTCCAGAAGAGGCTCCAGCCAGCCCACATTACATTCGACGTGGGAGTCGAGGAAGGTAAGGACCTCACCTACATTAGAGGACAGCAAACATCCTGTTGCAGTTAAACAAATAGTCTTATCTGCATGTTAACAGTGCAACCCTTATGGCACTAATTAATGGGTTATTTCAAAAGGCAGTTGTTTGTTCTATCTATGTAAATAATATGCATAAAAGTGTACAGCAGGTGCAACACTGAATGGGGTTTCTACTGAAGAAACCAACTTTTCAATCTTGCTGCTCTCATGTTTCAGTACTGTGTTTGTTACAAGGTGTATGCCATGTATAAACTTACATACATTGGTGTTATCTTAATGCACACATCCACTAAAATGTGTGCAGTGGTGAAAGTGTAGTTGCATCTTGCAAGCTGTCTGGATTTGCAAGAGACCGAGAGTGGGTCACAGACTATCTGTACTTTAAACTATTCGAGAAGCATTCATCTGGGTCAACTAGGAGATGATACCTGAGACAACTACTCAATCAGTGCTTTTTACTGCAACCACAAAGTGAAGATAACACTGTTACCGGCTGAGAAAACATGTTCTAACTCCAGCCCACAGGATATGTTTTCCATCTGACAGCCTGTAAATAATCCTTCAACCTAGTTTTTGTTATTTTACATTGGTGTTAAACCCGTTTTATTTATTTTTTTTATCATTATATGTCACACTGCTAACTTGTAGACTTCCCGGTCAATGTATTCATTTATTTTTTTCCCACATTTCTGTACAGCTTCTAATATATTCCAAGTATCTGGCCATTTTGTACATATTCTCTCACTCTTTATATTTGTATACAGTGGCTGCTTTTTATTGTCTCTATTTAAAAAAAATCTTTTTATCATTGCATTTATATTTTTCTACGCGTACTATGTGAAAACTTACTTGGCAAAAAAACAGATTTTGATTCTACATGTGGTTATTTTCTGACAAATTCAATGTTTTCTTGTCACTTATGCTTGGAAATTGTTCTATTACACAATTTACTTTACTTTACATATACTATTCTTAACAGAAGTGGACCAAAGGCTGAGATATAGGCCTACTATATATACATACATATATATACAGCAACCAGAGGAGCCTGTTCAAGCAACCAGAGGAGCCTGTTCAG